CTCGCACTGCTTTATTTATCGAGCTACTGTTTTTTTTTTTTCAACTTTATTCATTGCATAGTTATTGCATTGTACTTTGAGTAAAGTGTTGCATATGTGTAAGGGTGTAAATTTTTACGCTTTTTTTCATAAATATTTTAAATACATCCTTTGCACTGACGCATGTCGTGTGACGACGTTACATTCGTTACATATACACATACAAAAATATACTTTCATGGGTGTATGTAAAATATATAAAAATGCAGGTTTTGTATGCTTCGCCTCTTTCGAGTTTGTTTGCCGTAAAGTATGTTTAAAATTTTGTAGAGGAATGTGTTTGTGTCGTAGGGTATGTATATATGACTTATTGAAAAAAGGTTTTACAAGTGCATGTTCAAGCCATTTGTAATTTCATTTTTATTCGGAGCGAAGAAATTGAAGAGCAGAAAGTGAAATGTCATATATGTAATAGAAAATCATTTGTGATTGCATTAAATAAGTTTTCGAAAGGAATTTTTTCAAGAATTTATCTTGGACTTCCTAAAGTTGTGGACTCGTCGAAATCTTCCAAGCATGACTGACGCCAAAGTAAATTGTGTTTATGGAGAGCGCTAAGACCGGAAGTTAATGAGAGGAATTAATATATAAAGTATAGCGAAAATCTTGCAAGATAAGCAGCAGTTTGAGCAAAATCAAAAGGACTTATTTAGAACATAATATGGAGGAGAGAATTTTGAAAATCCAAAATTGGGTCGCTATTCAATAGGACCGACAGACGGTTTTGACAAAAACATATTCTGCTAATGAATGTGTGAAGGAGGCCTCAAAAAAGCGAAGCAAGCGGACAGACATTAGATCAACGGGAATTAATCCAAGGCCATTGCCGTGTAAATCAGAAAATTTGCAAAGGCTGCTTTCACGCATTACAAGTATTTGGCGAGTTTACTGAGTTTGCTTTGATGAATACAACGGATAGTAAAGAGCCTTTGCCTTTGAGCCTTTACCGCTCGAAATGAATTGTTACCTTGAAACCCATAAAGCAGAGTTTGGATTCTTCTAAAGTCTCTTTTGGATCTTACCTAACTATATTCGGGAAATTAGAAAGACATAAACGTACATTAGAACAATTTGTCGATAAAAGGTTTGATATAAACAGAAGAAGCCTGCAAACCTATCAAAATGCTTTGTGTAACTATTTTAGAAGATGAGTGCGGTTTGGAACTTTCCGTTGACAAAAGATTTTGTTACTTTCTTTTTTGTTTACTGCGTGCAAAATAATAGGATTGCAATTGCTGGAAGTATGGGGCAGAGTCTAGCATGCCTTTATACGCGATGCATGATATCCTTCCTTGAAGTTCATTGACAACGTAATCTTAATAAGCTGGAGTATCGTAGCCTGCGAAGCTTTCCTCGAACCCGGCGTCGATACACTTCCACATTATGAACATTTTGGGATTCAGAGAGAGATTTATAGATAAAAATTTGATTCGATGCAAAAAAACTGTTGTATGAATCACGACGGATGTTTACGTTATCGGTTAGATCGAAACTGTTGAGATTAAAGTTTCAGTCGCTTTTTGTGGGGCTATCATCCATTCTCTCAGTCAACTGCAAGGAGAATGTCGACTTTTATGGTTCTCTGATGAAGAACCTCTGCTTTTGATAACATACTTTCTCTCTTTCTGCTTTTGATTTGCTTAACAGATATTCCATCTACTGGGATTCATATCATACACGCATCATGGAGACTGCTGAAGTACCTTTGACAGAAACTCTGCGGTGCTCCATGCTTGCGTTTATGCTGTCAAAAATGAAAAAGATGAATTATAAAATAATTTCCAATATGATTTAGTTGATCCCTGTCACTTTGTCTCTCGCTCCAGAAATGCACAAAATAGTTTAATCAAAATGTGAAAAACATTATTGTGATCCACGACCCATCATTACATACCCTACCTCAATTCATTTAATACAGTTATTCATATAACGCCTTTTTGAAAGTAAACCGATATATATTGTATAATATTATAATAGCGATTTAACATATTTCATCAAATATCAAAATAATATTTGAAATATTCGCGGCATGTGGCTTGAACCCCGGAAAAAAAGACGAATAGACAGACAGACAAATTTAGATCGATTCAGAAAGTGTTTACGAATTTGTATTTGATTCCAAGCTGATTCCTGGTCGATGAGTCTACCTCTAGTCCTTCTAGGTGTAGTATTTTAGGATATCACAAGTAAATAAATTGTATTCAGTTATCGCTGAGTCTTTTGTACAAAAATTAAACACGAAAAAAACAAAAGCAAAAATATAAATATAAATTGCGACACTATATAGTAGCGGGTAAGCGAACCCAATTTTTTTCCTTTTCGATATAGACACTATACGATCATATAAGGTGATTTTTTCATTATTACTATTTAAGTCTTAAAGCATTTAAGGCATCTAAGGCTATTGGCTTTATTGGAAACTCTACTGGCAGTTGAAATTTTTAAAATTTGTTAAATTGTTAAGTTCTTACACCTTATAAGGATTGCTTCATTCTCTTGAAATATCTACAAGCGTCCATAATATTGTATTTTTATATAGACATAAGCGTCCATTGGCATGTTTTTGGAGAATATATTTTATAAAAGCTTTTATGATTTTGCTTCATCCATTCCGGGTGCAAGTGTCAGACTCCTTTCAGAAAACATTTTACACAGCATTATACTGTGCTTCGCCTTTTCCCGGTAATGTTTGCAAATCTCGATTTACATATAGCAGAGCAGACATTGCTTTTTGCTAAAGGATATGAGAAATGTCACATGTTCGTTTATTTCTATATCTTTAAAGATAATGTTTATGTCCCATGTTATATCCAATGATATCAACAAGCGATTAGTATACAACATCAGCAAAAAAATTGTACTCGACTTGATGATTCGTTTTTTTTTTTTCTTTTTTTTTTTTGTTTTCCTTTTGAACATCTTTTAACATTTTTCAATATCTGTTTGCTTTGACTTTAAAAGCATCGAGAAACGCATATAACCGAAATGGAATATCGATCATATTTAAAAGGAGATTATATGAATACACAGAGATATGGTGCAGAAATATTGAAACTGTCCTAATACAATATTCCATTTAAATGTGTGATGAATCATAAAGTATGACACACTAAACCATAAATATTCCTTTTAGGTATACCATCATATATGCATATGCATATGTGAAAAACTCAAAAATCAGACAAAAAAAAATGTAAAGGAAAATGGAGAGGAAAAACCAAAACATAAATAAAAACTAACAAACTTTAAAAAAAAAAAAATAACGAGAAAAGCCAATAATGTTAGAAAACCATATACACACTGCATCAAAAGGGCGCACAAATCGATTAGGAGGAAAAGAGAAAGCGTTTGTATGTATATGTTTGTAATAGCTGGAAAACTCATACAACAAGTATAAATGCCAGATTCTTTTATATAATATTTCTTCTTTTTTTTTTTCATTGTAAATTTCCAGAAAAAAGCAAGAGAAACACAATCTATTGTTTTCAGATAAATGAAAAAAAAAAAAACATTTTTTTTCTCTTCTTAGGAAAAACAAACTTTTTGGTTACGCTTTTTGGGTAAAAACTAGGTCAAGTGGCCTATAGAATTCGTGAACTATTATGCAGAAGAGGAACTCATTCTTTGATTCAGTCGATGTTGACTTTTACGGTTTCAGTGTCAACAAATCAGAATGTTATGTGTGCAGCATAAAGTACAATTGAGGGAATACCGTCATCGGAAGTGCATCGGTAGGTGCCCGCACATGGGTTAGTGACTTGATGTACTACTGGGATTACTCGAATTTTATAATCGTCCTTCATTGAAATGAAAGTGGCGCTAGACATATCTACCTTACCCACTGATGATAGCATTTTTAGTCTAGACCGTAACAATAATCGTAGACGCTTGCTATCAAGTTAAACTTTCTAATATGCTGTGCATAAAGAACGAATTTTCAGCGTACACTAATTTCAATTTTTTTTTCTTTTTGTAATAAATATAAATTGTTTTTGTTTTATAAGTAAAACTCAAATCAGTTTCAAAGAATCTCTGTATGTCGCGACATCCGGATCATGACTCTTTGCGAAAATCGCTTAACGATAAGAACATTATTGCAGAGGTGGCCTGGGAGAGCCGTTCAGTTCAGTTTTTCGTTGACAAATCGTAGAAAAAATGGCTTTACCATAAAAATGTCGTTAAGCCGTCGACCCTTTTCTTGAAAAAAAAAACCATGAGCTTTTGTCTTGATCTGTTGTATGTAATAAATTAGAATTCTCTCCTTTTAACTCCATTATATTGTGATGCAGGGTACATGAATTTGTGCGGATCTTTACAACACATCTTGAAATAGACCCTCTTTTTATTATATCGATTGATACAGAATTTTTTCTGAATATGGAATAAGTTCGTCCATTCTTCAGTTCTTCTGATGTCTATGTTTTTTTTTGTGTTTTGGTCCAAGGTCGACCGCTATTAGACAATTCAACTAGTTTTTCGACCAGACCAGATCTTTCGAGACCTGCCCGATTGTCATGATTTTACTTGTTTTTGAACTATTATGTAGTGATTGTAGATAACCTCCGCTCACTATACCTTAACCTAAATTACTTGTGTAAAGGCTTAAGTTTAAGGCTTATGTTCCCTTTCTTCAAAGTTAGTTTGGAAAAGCGGACATGGTGAATCCATTAAGAAACTTGTAAAGAGTGACTTATAGGATCTTAGAAGCGATAAAATTGGCACATGCCAATATAAAATTTATGAAAATAATTTATTGGAAAATTTTACTTTTCAATCTCTTTTAATAAAATGCGAGGCTTATTCGTTCGTTCGTTGAGCACAGACCTAGTAAGCATTTACTTCTTAAAAAACAAGTCATGCATTATATTACAGCCCGTTATTTTCATCTTTTTTTTTTTTTTTCTTTTTGCTTCATTCATTTCATTCTTATTCATATATAATATATTTATTTTTTTATGCAGATTTAACACAAGCCGCTCTGCGTAATGTCAATTTATATGTGGAACCACCCGCTGTGCGCAGAGGGCAATCGGTAACCTTACGCTGCCAATACACATTGGAGGGAGCGCCATTGTATTCGGTCAAGTTTTATCGCGGTCAATTGGAATTTTTCCGTTACACACCTGGTGAATATCCGAATACAAAAGTTTTTCATTATCCCGGCATAAAAGTTGATGTAAGTAAAAAAAAAAAAACAAGGAAAAAAAAAAAGATTAATAAATAAATATATATATGCAATATAGATTAAAAACAAAAAGAGTCAATATATTATAGTCGTGACATAAACCGAACCATTTGATACTCTTCAATAGTTACTTTATACCTTCCTCCGAACTTGGAAAATACATTTACTTGAAACTCTAATAAACAATGAAATTTTATATTATAAACACTTAACTTTCTTTGCAACGTATACGACAGAGGTTTGGATGTAAACTGACTAACTCTTCATAATCCAAAGTGTTTCGTATTAGTTGCTGCTTTAGCTTAAGATTTTTGTTCCATAACATGTTAGTTGTTCACCTGAAAATAGTATTTCTTTTTGGGTGACATATAATCTCAAGATTATCACCTAAGCTACCTTAAGGATTAGATTTATAATGCAAAACTCTGGAATTAGTTGCGATCAGTTCCGTATGTAACCTGACATTAAGACTTTTAGACCAAATTGCAAGGTTGTAAGTCATGACTGCTGCGTTGAGACAGTTAAACGTTTATGTTTAAATTGAATTTCCTCTTTATGCCCAACACAAATATATATAAGTATATATACATATATATATATATAAATATATATGAAATATCCGATGCATTATTTTATGCGAAGCTCAAAGTAAAAAAAATGTAATCATATACCCTTTGTGATGGGCGTACAAATGCGAAATGAAAATAAGCAGAAAGAACCAGAAAAAAAAATGAACTCAATTTAATTTAATGTCGGTAAAATCAAGGTGTTCATCCACTGGGATGCAAGTACATGCATTGCAAAACGATTTTTATAAATAATTTAATAAGTTCACACATATGAGCATACATACATAAATGAATTCCATTGTGAAGGGTGATAGTACGGAACACCGAAGGCTACACCTACGTATATATGTTATGTATATTCCTCGGCGCCGAATATCAAATTCGATGAATTGAGTTACTCAGTGCCTTGCTATTTCTAAAAAGATTAAATTTTCTTGATTCAAAACGCGGTTTTAATAGAAAACCTTCTTCATAAACGTATAAAAAGTTGACACTATTTCGAAAAGGAAAACAAATATATTTCTATTGGTGGATAAAGAACACTGTGATCTCACTTGGCTAAATAGTAAGCTAAGATGCTAAGCGGTTTCCATTGAGTTTCGATTGCAAGCAAATGCACAAAGTATGAATGCAAGGACCTACCCCAGTTAAAGTAAACAATAACCAAACAAACCAAATGATGATCACTTTTGATCACTTTTTGAGCAATAAATATTAAGTAGAATTCATAAGAGGCGAATCGTATGCAATCGTAAAACACCGTTATCCACAAAGCGTCATTTTATTCTGAATAGTCGGGAGTCGTTTTACTTGATTTGTCGCGACAAAATCAATGCAGCTGACTGTACGAGTGAATGCTGCTGCGCTTTTTCAGTTCGATCTGTGTGTGATTTCGGTGATAGTTTTATTCCTTTCCAGAAACTTGTACGTGTCCTCCTTTTATAGAGGCATTCCAGTTACTATGGCTTTTCCTTTCAATTATGTCGCCAGTTTATACATGTAAATGTTGTGGTCAAACGACAATTAATCGAATATGCAGTGCGGAGGTGTAAGTTAAGAGTTTTTTGAGGACCCTGAGTATTATTTTGATTACACTTTTTCGGAAACATTTTGGGGGAATCGTGAGTTGTTGATGAAAAAGTCCTTTTGAAAATGTATTTTGCTTAAGTTTTCTTTCTGTTCTGGACGTGTCTATTTTGTTTTTGCAGAAGCCAAGTCGTTTGCAGGCCGATAATACTCGCAAAGCTGTCTTCTATGATCGATTGAGAAATCCACGTATCATACATAATTTCAACTTCGTATCCTAATTTTTGGACTGTGGTAGCAAAGAATGCTAACGGTAGATTTAGGTTTCTCTCACTTAGGAAACTAGACTGAATAATAAAGAATGGTATAAATCCATTGCAAGTCTTTAGAGGGCCTTTCTTATGATCATAATCCGAAAGCACTGAAACATTACTTTATACATTTTAAAAGCATTTTTATATCCACACCCGGATAATGAGGGTATAAAAATTTTGTCATAATGTTTGCAGCATCACCCAAAAGAAATCGTCAGTGATGCCGTAAAGCGCATATATATTCTTGATCAGCGTAACATTTTGAATCGATCTAGCCCCATCTGCATGTTTGTGTGTTTCTGTAACTTTGGGCCTGCGCAGTGTACGTTGTTGGCAGTCTCCTGGTCGGAAGAAGTACGATATCAACTTCAAATTTGACAGAAGCATTGGAATTTCCTGCAAGCTGGTTGTCATTGGAAATTAGCCAAATAGGTCAGACGACATGTCCACCGTAACGAAAACGCTGAAGACAACTCTACTTCATTAATAATAGATTATAAGGGGTAGAAGGTTGAAGTTTTCTACATTCACTTAATGGAGAACTTTACTGTTCGTATTCAAAAGCCAGTCACCCCCAAACAAAGTTATAAATGATAAAATTTTAATGTTTTTTCAGTTCTTTGAGAATTTTTGCTTGTTACTCGCCAGGTAAACGAGAGAGAACGTTGGAGAATAGGAATATTACGGAATATTACAAGAAGCGGGCCTGTTTAGAGCTCGAGGGTGGAAATGAATTACTTTCTCGCCCTTATTAGTTCTGAGGCCAATCATAAAAAGGGGCTTATTTAAAAAATGTTTATAAATCGTTACTATTATTACTTTTTTAATTGAAATTCCGGACAAGATTCTCTCTGCTCTCTAAGTAAGTATTCTCCACCACTCAGTCAGTTGTATTTCAAACTTAGGAATTTATAAAATGATGAAAAATAAACTTTATGAAAGTGTGTTATAGCAAGCTTGGTGTAATTGGTTTAGTACATTTAATACTGTTTTTTTACCTGCTATTTACGTCACTAAACATAAAAATTACATATTGTTTTCATATAAAGGCTTACTTTTAATGAGGATCTTTATATGAGAGGCAGCCCAAATATAGATCTACGTACGTTGTCCTAACTTAGCGCCGGAAATTTATTTATCAAACCAATATTTATTATAAAATACTAAAAATTAGAACTTGTTGCCGCATAAAGGCTTATTTTTTGAAAAAAACTCATAAACGAAGAGATGCACAAAATTGTCCTATTCCGTCCATTTTCTCCAAAATATCGTTTTTTACCGACTTTTATTGAGAAATACAAAAATGCGAAATTTATTATCTAAAATGCGGCTTTGTATGGGGAATGATTGTAAAAGTAGATTGATTCAATTTATTTTCAATAAAGTTCGACGAGGGCTCACAGCATATCAGTATACGAAAAGTGTAGCCCGAAGCCGACTACAATTTTTCCACATTTCCAATATCAACTTTTTGCCCTATGTAAATAGACGTATATAGTACAGAATATTTAGTAGCTTTGTAATAGCAAAGTTATCCACTTTTCATATGCAAAAAAAAAAAAAAAAGTCCATAACATTTTCAGACGTTTAAGTTTCCAATATTTTTATGTATACAAATTTGTAGAAAAACTTTATAAAAAAAGAGATAATATAATGCTTTGCTTTTCAATGCTTGTTCTTGTTTTTTTTTTTTTCATTCTTTTTCTTACAGGAAAGTGTATCAAATGCTACTCAAGTGATTATACGAAACGTTAGCTTCAACTTATCAGGTAATTTTGCCTGCGAGGTAACAGCCGACGCACCATTATTTTCTACAGCCACTGCATATGCTCAAATGCAAGTAGTCGGTAAGTATGATAGCACAATACACTATAAACACAAATACACACATTTCAAAACGTATGCAACAAATCATATAAGTAGCTGTCTGTGATAGCGGACGTAATGATAAAAGCGAACTATTTCTGCCTCTTTCTTCTTGATGTTAACATCATTACACACGTGCTTCGCTAGAAATAAGTTAGCAAAACTGAGAACACTGAAGAGAGAGTGTGGAAAATTTCTCCAATTTTCTGGTTGGCTTGCTAAGCAATAAGCTTAAAGGCATTTAAAAATTATTTTGGTTTTGATTACTACTCAAATAAGTAGCCGATCGTTTGGCAGTTATTCACTCTGTCCATTTAAATGTAAAGAAAAAAAAGGAAAATCCATCGCTCATTTAAATCATTTGTCGTTTCACTCTTTTCTATACTTTTGCAAATTATTTTTTTCAAAATTTTCCGAAATTCCGTCCACCTCTTTTCCTATTGATGAAGAGCAGCGGATTATAAAACCAAGATTTACTTTCTTTAAAATTTCATGAATACCACAAGTAAAACTCAATCAACTCTTTTTTAAAAATTGGAAGGTTATAGTTAAGGTTTTACGTTACTAAATCTTCCCAGGAAAATGAAAGCTTTCCCCGCGCCTTTAACAATATTAGGGACCCTAAGAAATTTAAGTGCGTCTGTTTTTCATATCTTTTTACCACTTCAAGCTAATTTCATACTTTCAGTAGCGAAACCAAACATTGGAGCCTCTGATCTTAATATCTGTGACAAGAAATCGATAGATAGGCAGATCAACAAGTAGACAGATGGACAGATAAGATAAATCAGCAGGTCGATAACCCGACACAATCTATCAGATAGGTAAATACTCAAGTCATGGATGTTCGAATTAATGTGCAGTCACAGTTAAATCGGACTCAGAACCTTACAACAATCAAGAATATATCGAAAGATCGGCAGATCGATGGATCGATAAACCGATGATAGGTGGGCCGTCAAAGCGGCAGATGTGACGAACGACAAATTGACGTAGGTACGGATCGACGTAATGATTGGTAGACACAGCGACAGAGAGACAAACAATTCAACCGCCGACTATGGGATAGATGGTCATGGCTAGACCAAATCACATTATTGACCTTACCAAGTATACATCGGCCGATGTGTTGTCAGAAAGAGGGACGCAATGTCCAAATCATCAAATCGATAGATGCGCAACAACACAAATCACGCGAATAGATAAAGAGATAGGCGGGCAATTGAACAGATTATTCAACAATCAAACCGTCATATCGATAAGTCGACAGACAGACAGCCAACCTTAATTAAATCGACTCAGCCCTGAACCAGTACATACATCTGATGAGTATCTATACGATTAGGAAGGATCAAAAAAGCAAACCTTCATCTAAAAGTTGCAAATTGCTTTAAATGATTTTAGTACTAATCTGGACAATGCGCGGCAACAGCTCATCAATTGTTGTTGCATTAGTTGCAAAAGCGAGAACAACTCATTCAATACTTCGTAATGATTCTTGAGATAAAGAAGAAATCTTGAAAGTCGTAAGCTTTTACAAAACGTGATGAGCTCAGAAGAGAGAAGAGAGAGCAGATAATCGAAACAATGATGGTTATATGTCAAATCTATCTCTCTCTCTCTCTCTCTCTCTCTCTCTCTCTCTCTCTCTCTCTCCCTCTCATTCTGTCTTCATTACAAAATTGCGTATTCTTTAACAATAATTCTTTTTTAAACTGCTCGTCTTAAGAGACAGAAAGAACAAGAATCGGTACACAATGAAATTTCTAAAACAATATCACATTGTGTGGTTCTTAACGGTACAGAAAAATTCTCTTTTCAGCCAAAAATTGCTTTCAATGGAATAGAAGTTTGATTTTCTTTAATACTGACATTCAAGGGATTTAAAAGAATGTTTGATACGGCTGGTGACACGCTACGTCTATGAGTAGCGGCTAATGCATCTCAAAGCGATTTATGTGGGGTTCTAAGAATAGTTGCATTGAAGTTTTTATTGATATCGTCCTTCCTATGGATATTTGCTGCCTAAAAGTAGGCAAAGACACACATTTAGAAGAGAGAAATTTAGAGACATTTAAAAATCCCAACTCATTTAATGTCTACCTTGGAAGACAAAGTAAGTCATAGAAAAGACTAAAAAGTGATTATAATGTGAACGACGAGGCGATGATTGTGGAATTGTTAAATCTTAGAAGCAAAATTAGAGGTAAGGCAGAAAGTTTTAACACTTCTTAAAGTAATGTGGACGGCTTATTTGAAAAGTGACGTAAATCATTCCATCAAAAAAATAAAACTAATAATGAGTTAAGGATATGTTACTAAAAACGAAAGAACTAAGTTTGCTTGAGAACAACTTATGCCTTTTTAAAGATAAATTTTCTCTAAAGTCTTTAAGCAAAAATCTTACGCGACTGAGGGGTTGAGATGTCACTACAATTGAAGCTGCCTCTCGACGATTGAGTCAATGAAAAAATTATGCTCAAAAGTGAAGAGAGAACAGCATGTTCTAGAGGCGCCATCTAGCGTTGTTGGCCTTAATGGTCGCCTTGATCGCATTACTTCCTTTTGAAAGATGGATGAAGATTGTAAACTAAATGCTTACGATGTGAAACTTTTCCATGTGTAGCGTAAGTCAAGCATAACATACACAAACATAGGAAAGGATATTGTGTGTTAAAGTGAAGTATTTTGTTTGAGATTTTCATTAAGATGACGTTGATGAAGATGATGACGTTAAAAAGTAACCACAACACATGTTAAGTGTGCATAAATTTAACAATTATGACACTTGAGCTGATAATATATGTTTTCTTTTTTTGTTTTTTTTTATTTTCTGTTTTTTTTTTTTGCTTTTTGAAATGTCACACAATTGTCAACAGGGAAACACCGACAAACACATGCATAAGAATCATAAATTTTGTAACAAAATCAGTCATAAGAAAGGCAAAAGAATTCTTTATTTCTATTATGGACGAGAGCAAG